ACTCAGAAGAGTCCATGAGCATCTGGAACTGGCCAGATGAGCCTACACTGCCCATTCCTGGAAGTGTCCAAGGTTGGACAGGGCTTGGAGCAACCTGGGATGGTGGAAAATGGTGGAAGCCCATGGCAGGGGTTCAGTGAGATGGGCTGTGAGGTCCCTTTCAAACCAAACTGCTCCAGGGTTCTGTGATTCATCCAAGATCCTCAAAGAGCTGCTGAAGTCATTGCAAAGCCTCTCTGGGTGATTTTTGAGCAGTCTTGGGATTTCAGAGAGCTCCCAGCTGACTGGGAGTTGGGGAATGTTGTCCTAATTTTCAAGAAGGGCAAGAAGAAGGACCCTGGAAGCTACAGGCCTGTCAGTCTCACTTCACTGCCTGGTAAAATCAATGCAGATTGTTATTCTGAGAAGTATTGAAAAACACCTGGACAACAGCATGGTCTTGGTCACAGCCAGCTCAGCTTCATCAGGGGAAATCCTGCTTATCAAACCTGATTTCCTTCTGTGACAGGGTAAACCCAGTTGGAGACCTCAACAAAGGAGAGCACTGGGCCATCCCCAACCATGTGAAATTCCAGAGGGGAAAGTGCCTGGACACACCAGGGGATGGGGCAGCCCTGGATGTGTGGATGGACCAGAGGACAAGAGGATGGAGAGCAGCTGCAGGAAGGGATCTGGGCTCCAATGGCCACTTGGAATTATATAATTAAATTCATTTTTATATATAGAACATATATAATATATATTATACACTATATTAATATAATACAATAATAGAATTATATAATATAATAGTAGAATTATATTTAATTATATATATAATACAACATATATATTATCATATATATTATATAATTATATTTAATATAATTATATAATTATATTAATTTTATATATCTAGAACATATATAATATATATTATATACTATATTATATAATTATATATAATATAATTCATCTAACAATAAAATTATATTTAATTTCATCTATAAATTTATTTATATAACATATAAATTTTTTTATACAATATATAAGTCTATATAATATATAAATTTATATTATGTATGTTTTATATTATATATTCTACAATACAATTATATTTAATGTAATAATAGAATAATATACTAATATAATTTATATTAATATTTATTATTTATTTAATTTATTTTAATATATAATTATATTCAATATAATAATATAATTATATATTAATATAATTTTATATTAAAAAGACATGAAGCCATCAGAGAGCATCCAACCCAAAGGAGGCCATGAGGATGGGGAAGGGTCTGCAGGGAAATGTGAGGAGTGGCTGAGGTCACTTGGTCTGTTCAGCCTGGAGGAGACTTCAGCATCCTCCTGAAGGGCAGCAGAGGAGCAGGTACCAACCTCTCCACTCTGCTGAGCAGTGATAGGACTTAAGGAAAGGGCTGGAGCTGGGTCAGAGCTTTATGTTGGGTATTAGATGAAGGTTTTTCACCCAGAGGTTGGCTGGGTGCTGAGCAGGCTCCCCAGGGCAGTGGTCACAAACCTGTCTGAGTTCAAGGAGCTGGGCTTGTTGGGATTTCCTGTGCATCATTTTTGATGATCCTTGTGCCTTCCAGCTCAACCTATTCTATGACTTCATAATTCTAGCTTGGAAAGGGCTGCAGCAACCTGGGGCAGTGGAAGATGTCCCTGCCCAGGGCAGGGGGTGGAACTGGATGGGATTTAAGGTCCCTCCCAACCCAAACCATTCTGTGGTGCTGGTCCTCACCCACCTGTGCTGGCCCTGCAGGCTCACCGTGCTGCACAAGAACCAGATATCCCCAATTTTCTGTAATTCATCCTCTGCTCAGTGTAACAACCCCACCTCCAAAAGGACTTCAGCCTGAGCAGAAACTTGGTGCAAAAACTGCCCCAAAAAGGGGCAGATTGGAGTGTTAGAGCTGTGTGTGATGAGGACCACAGCCCTGGGACCCCTGCACCATGAAGGGTGATAAACAGGAGCCTCAAAGACACAGGAACCTGGTTTGGGGAGGAAGAAGAAGGAAGCTGAGCTAATTTAGCCGTCTTGGAGATGGATCATTTGCCACCCGTGAGCACCACAAGAGGGAAAGGTTTTGGACTGCAGAGTCTTTGTAGAAGGAAAAGGAAATCCAATAGCTGGCAGCAGAATGGTGTAAATCCAGACTAAAATTAATGGAATATCTGGTGTTTTTTATGGGAAGATAATTTGCCATTGGAAAAACTTGCTTAAAACCTGCAAATTTCTTCTTCTCCTTGTCCCTGGGCCAGCCAGAGTGGATGCAGAGCTCCAGGGGGATCCTTCAGCTGAGGATAAGGGGGTGGAGGCAGTGGTGTACTGAGCACAACATTTCCACTGCACTGCACTGAGTTTTCATTAAATAAAAGGCTTTTTAAAATGCAAAACGCTTCCAAATACGAAGTTTATTTGGGGAATTATTTGTAATGACTTTGAATATATCTTCTTTTCCATTTTAGTCACTGCTATTAATGTACTTACTATGCACTACTGTCATTGATAGTTAAGATAAAGTAACAAATTCAGGGGGTTTTTAAAGCTTCTTGCTAGCACTGGGTGAAAAATGTTGTTTTCCTTTCAGATCAAACGCCACTGGTGTTTTAATGAAAAAGCCAGATCCTCTGATAAAGTAAACACTATTATTGACCTATGTAAACAAATATTCAGTTTAAAAAGAAATTTCGTAAATCTGACCCGCAACATCTCGGGATTAGCTGTTTCACAGAGCTCTTCCTAGTGGGAAAAATTGAGAAGAACTATTTTTTTTTAGCTTTTTACTCTTGGAATAAAACCAAATTTCGAAATCCTGGTTTCCTGTGAACTGGAAACCACTGGCTCAAACCAGGAGTAATGAACAAGCCACAGTCTGGGGAGGATTTACTGCCAGGAGTTGGTGCAGGGAGCACGGCGCTGCCGAGGCACTTTTTGGGGTGCCAGTGGGGAAGGAGAGGTCCCTGCACTGAGCAGTTGTCACCTCTGCACCCAGGCCTGGCTCTTCAGTGCTGGATCTGCTAAAGGCTGAGCTTTTCTTCCTTTGTTTTTGTTCAGTGGAGTGAAAGTGGAGAGGATGGAGATGATGGGGGTGGCAGGATGTTTGTTATTCTGGTGGGGAGAAGGACAGCAGGACGTGGTTACATCCAGTAACTCTCCATTCCCATTCTGGGATTACCCTTGGAAGTGCCCAAAGCCAGGTTGGATGGGGCTTGGAGCAGATTTTGGGATAGTGGAAGATGTCCCTGCCCAAAGCCAGGTTGGACAGGGCTTGGAGCAGATTTTGGGATAGTGGAAGGTGTCCCTGCCCAAAGCCAGGTTGGACGGGGCTTGGAGCAGATTTTGGGATAGTGGAAGATGTCCCTGCCCTGTCCCTCCACGCTCCCCTCGTGTCCATTTGGTGTTTTGAGGCCTTTGGGCAGAATTTCTAAACCACATTTCCTAAACTGAGGAATATTTTCCTATTTTCTCAAGCTATCAAACCTTGGGTGTGGTGCAGAAAAATCCCTGTACTGCAATGATCATGTGTCTGCAGAGCTGGAGGACAGAGAGTTACCCAGACTGTGGAAACCACCCATGGAAGTGTCCAAGAAAGACTTTTGAGCACTCCCTGGGAAGGGTTAAAGAAAGGTGTAGATGTGGTGCTTAGAGACATGGTTTAGTGCTGAGCAGTAATCCTTGGACTCAACCATGTTAGATGGTTTTTCCAGCCATGATTCCATGATTCCAAATATCCCATTTATTTCTGATGGGGCTGCCTGGCACCTTCACTTGGCTCATGTTGGCCCAGGTTTTGGGGTACCATGACCTCCTTGTGCCATCATTGGGGTTAAACCAACCCACGGCTGTTTGGGATGAACAGAATTCCAGTGCTGGAAGCATCCTGAGCTGCAGTAAGGGTGAGGAGGCTTTGCTGTTGTGTGGCTTAGGAGGACTTGTCTGTGCTGGTCAGTGGGAGCATCACCTGACCTATTTCAACCCAAATCATCTGGAAAAACAGCTTTAACAGTGGTTTAATTTTTTAGTACTTTTAAGTCCTAAAAGTGCTGCTCCTTCCAATATTCTGCTGCATCTCTGAGGATTCTCCCTTACCGTGCAAAGTGCTGAGAAAAAAAATCTGCTTTTGGCAAAGGAAACTAGAAGAGGTGAGGGAGGATCCCTGCAGGGGTGGAACTGGGCTGGGGGTACCTGGATTTGGGATTGAGAGGAGGAAAATCCATCTTGGCTGATGGATGGAAAGGTTTCACAGCAGGAGATGCTGCCTGTGCTGGGCACCTCGAGGTCCCACCTCGAATCCTGGGGTCAGTTTTGGGCCCCTAATGAAAATTAAGACATTGAAGGGCTGGAGTGTTTCCATAGAAGGGAGTGGAGCTGGGGAAGGGTTTGGAGCACCAGGAGAGGCTGAGGGAGCTGGGGAAGGGGCTCAGCCTGGAGCAAAGGAGGCTCAGGGGGAATTTCTGGCTCTGCACAACTCCCTGCCAGGAGGGGACAGCTGAGGGGGGTCAGGCTCTGCTCCCAAGGAACAAGAGACAGGACAAGAGGAAACGGCCTCAAGCTGTTCTAGGGAAAGTTTAGATTGGATTTTAGGGAAAATTCCTTCATGGAAAGAGTGGTCAGGCATTGGACCAGGGCAGTGGTGGAATCACCATCCCTGGAGATGTTAAAAACACGTGTGGACGTTGGCACTTGTGAGCATGGTTTAATGATGAACATGGTTTTGGTGCTGGGCTGATGGTTGCACCTGGTGATCTTGGAGGTGATTTCCAACCTTAACATTCAGTGATTCCATGATTGTGCAGGGGGGTCAGGGAGCAGTGGGCAGTGGGTAGGGAGCAGCTGGGTGGATGGACCAGCGCCAGTACCCGGCTGAGATGTGGCCAGGAGCTCAGTGTGGGATGGGCTCCAGCCCTGCAGCCCTCCTCTCCACCTTCTTCCCTGTCTCCATCTTCAGTCCTTTCATCAGCACCCTGTGACTCCCTTGTTTCACCTTCCTTCCACAGAGACACTGATGGACTCCACAACGGCGACAGCAGAGCTGGGCTGGACGGTGCATCCTCCCTCAGGGGTAAGGCATCATCACCTGGTGGGGACCTGGAGCTGCTCTGGGCTCTCCTCTGCACGTGAACGTGGCAGGCTTGGCCCAGCAGAAGTCAGGCACTGATGCAAAGTGCCTTGGCCATGTGGGAGGAGCACAACAGGAGGTGACACTTGAGGTTTCCTGTAGTTTTTCAGGAGATGATACTCCAAAAAATACCTCAGTGTTGGTAGAAACAACATGCCAAGGCCACTGTGATTTGTCCCCAGTGTCTCACTTGTTATTCCATTGCCTGTCACTTGTAGCAGGATGAGGGCATTAGGCTCTGGTCCTGCAAGGACTGTCCAGCATCCCTGGCATCCCATGGAGAGGCATTTGCTGGCTCAGCAGAGCTCTCTGTCTTCTTTACCAGGGCCAGGTGTACCCTGAGACACATCCAAAGAAGCTCCTTTAAAGAAGAGCTTGGGCAAGGCAGTGCATCAGGTTCATGCCCCTGTCCCCCTGAGGGTGCTGGCACTGCCCAGGCTCCCCAGGGAATGGGCACAGCCCCTGCCAGAGCTCCAGGATGGAGCTCTCGGGGATGCCCAGGCTGGGATTGTTGGGGTGTCCTGGGCAGGGTCAGGAGTTGGACTCAGTGATCCCTGTGGGTCCCTTCCAACTCAGTTCTGTGATTCTGTGTTTTTTGCACCCTTCCACTCATGAGAGCAACCCAAAGTGGAGCCACCTGTGTGTCCCATGTGGGGCATCAAGGTGCTTCAGAGCATCCTGCCCACCTCTGGCAGCAGCCACAGTGCCCAAACCCCCCAGACCTTCTCCCTTGCCTGTTACTGCTGAATATGAATAGATCACAGGCACACAGGTCGAGGTGTGGTGAAAAGGAGAGAGAGTTTATTTTTCCTCCCAGGATTTATAGGTTTCTGACCACAGCCAGGGATTGGATGGTCAGGATAACACTTTCCCACTGCACTGGCCATGAGAGATGCCCATCACAAGACAACAGAAAGAATGTACACATATCTATGTTTACAGTTACTGTCCTGGGAAAGTCCTTAGAAAACCATGTCAGCAAGCTCAGAAGATGAGTTTTCAGGACAACACTTGCCCTTGGGTGGCCCAATCCAGCCTTCCCAAAACCCAGAGATGCTCCCCATGCCCGCGCATGGCTCAGGCACCATCCTACCTTCCATCCACCCTCTGCAATGGAGGCTGGATGAAGACATTTCCCTGCACCTCACCCCCAGGCTGACAGCGTTGGCAGAAGAAAAGAAACAGCCCAGAAAAGCCTGGTCTGGGGAGATTAAACCGAGCCGGGGCGGCGTGGCCGCGGTGTCGCGCCGGGCGCGGGCGCTGCCGCCCGGGCCCATCACCATGATAAAGGGCAGGGCTGCCCCAGCCCCACCAGTGCCCACCGAGGGGGATGACGGGCACACAATGCAGAGGAGCAGAGGTCAAGTCTTTTTCTCTCCTGGCCCAGCCTTTCTTGTTTGCGGTGTTTCCATATGTGAAGCACGCCCTGCTCCCGCAACCCCAGCCCGGCTGTAATGAGGCCGGGGCCTGCTGGAAGCCGTCTCCCCGGGTTATTGTGCTGCTGCCTTCTTTTGAGCTCCTGGCATGTTAATTAGAGAGCCAGGAGAAAGGGAGAGGCTTCTAATTAAGCGTGGAGGAAGCGCAGGGGCTGGTGCACGGGGGTGACTTTCTCTGCCATCTGGGAAAAGGGAAGCCTGGGGCAGGGATGTGGGAGGATGCTGAGGGTCCCGAGCCCGGCCCCCAGGGTGATCCCAGGTCCCCCATCAGGGTGGAGATGCCCATCTGGTTGGTGGGATCACCTCCTGTGTCCACCTCTGGGTCCTCAGTGGGGATATGGGCTCATCATGCCCTGTGCTCATCATGGGTGATTATTCTGCAGTGACTCCCTGGCCTCATGTCCACGGGCAGGACAAGGCAGTGCATCCCACTCAGAGGTCACTGGCCAGGTTGGGTGCACCCAGCATCACCTGGAAGACAGAAGCTGCTGTCTGCTCCTTTTTGGGGACTATTAAAGAGCCCAAAGCCCAGGCAGTTGTTTTATGGCTGGCTCTGAAGCTCTTGTGCCATTCATAGATGTCCCCAGGCCCTGCCTCCAGCATCTCCTGTTCACCCCAAGCCCTGGAGACCCTCATGTGCTGCTCCTGCCTGACCAAGGCTGAGCTCTCTGGGCTCATGTCCTTACCCTTCTTGGGGACTGGGAAGGTGTGGGACCCTTGGTCTTGGTGGCTGGAGTGCTCTGGAGTGGTGCAGGTGATGGAGAGCCACACCAGAGGCAGGGCAAGGGAAGGAATTGCTTCCTCTTGCCTTGTCCTTGATTCCCTCACTCCCCCCCACAAGCAGTGCCCTGAAAAGCAGGGAGATCCTGCAATTTTCCACTAACACACCAATTTTATTTCTGGAAAACAAAGCAAACGCTCCGGCTGTGTTTTGCGAGGATGCTCTTCTCGTCCCCCAGCCCTGGCAGCAGATTTACAGCCACTGCCAATCTCAAGTGGTTGGAGCTGTTGGGGATCTTCCCTGACAGCCTTCTGTTGGGCTGTGAGCCTTGATGTGCGAGGAGCAATCTGTCTCCCATCTCCTGAGCCTCTCTCCCCAGTCCTGGGTGCCCTTGTGAGGCCATTTACAAGCTGAGGGGCTGGGGGTGCTCTCCTCCTGCAGGATTTTCCCTGGATTCAGTCCTGATGCTAATGCTGGGTCTGGGCTGTGCTGCTGCCCTGCCCTGGCTGTTGTGATCCTGCATCCAGGGCAGGGTTGTGCTTGGGGTGTAACATCCATGGGAAACAGCTCGGCTTCCACTTGAGCAGCTTTATGAACAAATTCAGAAGGAGCAGTTCCAGCTGGCTGGGACTGTCACACGCCAGCAGGACTCTGGTCCCCGCTGCCAGCATCACTGGGTGGGGATGGGACTGCAGGGAGATGCTCTGCACTCTGGCAGGAGATGGGCAGGGGGAGATGCTCTGTGAGCTGAGGGTCCTCCTTCCACAAAGACCCTTCCCTGCTGGTGCTCCCCACAGAGGAGCAGTGGCTGCTTACAGGATGCAGCTCATGCCCTGCATCCCTCACTCACATCCTACACAGGATGGAGACAACAAGGGCTAGAGGATTTGGGAAAAAACAGCCTGGGAAAAGGGCAGAGAGCTGGAGGTGTCACAGCAGCCCTGCTGTGGCGCCCAAAGGAACAGCTGGGACTGTGGTGAGGGGTTTAGACTGGATGTTAGGAGAAGGTTCTTCCCCCAGATGGGGGTCAGGCACTCCCCAGGGAAAAGGCAAGTCTTTCCAGAGCTCCAGGAGGGTTTGGACACCGCTCTCAAGCACAGGGAAGGATTGCTGGGGTGACTCTGCACTTGATCCTTGTGGGTCCCTTCCAGCTGAGGATATTCTCTTCTGTAATTCTCCAGAGCTTCCTCCAGAACTGGCTGTCAGTCAGCTGGGGGAGCTGGGAAGAGCTTCCCATGGGGAAATCTGTCAGCTCTGAGCTGTCTTGCTGAGAGGGATGTTCTGTCATGGCTCAGCTCGTAGGCATGGCTGCATCCACAGATCCAGTTCAGCTGGGCTGGGACCTGAGCACACCATGCTGGAGGAGCCCCAAAACATTTGACCCAAAACATTTGACCCAAAACATTTGACCCAAAACATTTGACCCAAAACATTAAGGGGCAGGGATGAAGGCTCCAATGGGATTTACCCAGCATCTCCCTTTCTGGGAACACAGTGGGACGGTCCCATCCTGCCCCTGGGAAGAGGCACTGGCTGCAGCCAGCCAGGAGGTTTTGTGGCTTCTGAGGAAGCTGGAACCACAGTGGCACTGGTGGGGGTCATGTGCTAAAGGTGCTGTGCTCCTTTGCCAGAGGCACAGCCCCATCTCAAACCATTTCTGCAGAGCAGTGGCCTTGCTGTCCCACCAGCAGCAGAGGCTTGACCCTGAATCCAGGCACGGAGCTGGTGGCAGCGAGGTGACCCTGAGGGGCCCCTCTGTCCCCACAGTGTGGAGCTTACCTGGGGCATGGTGTGGGTCAAACCCTGCCTGGGCAGGTCCAGGGGGTCAAACCCTGGCCAGGCAGGTCCAGGGGGCCAAACCCTGGCCAGGCAGGTCCAGGGGGGCCAAACCCTGCCCAGGCAGGTCCAAGGGGCCAAACCCTGCCTGGGCAGGTCCAGGGGGGTCAAACCCTGCCCAGGCAGGTCCAGGGGGTCAAACCCTGCCCAGGCAGGTCCAGGGGGTCAAACCCTGCCCAGTCAGGTCCAGGGGGTCAAACCCTGCCCAGTCAGGTCCAGGGGGTGCTGGGGTGAGGTGCTGAGGGCTGGGGTGGGCACAGAGAGGGGCAGCTGGTGCTGTCAGAGCCTGCTTGGCACACAGTGGGGATGGGAAGGGGCGAGGAGGGCTGGGTGCAGCCCCTTGACTGTGTGTGTGTGTGTGTCCTGCCCGCAGTGGGAAGAGGTGAGTGGCTACGATGAGAACATGAACACCATCCGCACCTACCAGGTGTGCAACGTCTTTGAATCCAGCCAGAACAACTGGCTCCGGACCAAGTACATCCGGAGGCGAGGAGCGCACCGCATCCACGTGGAGATGAAATTCTCTGTCCGGGACTGCAGCAGCATCCCAAACGTCCCAGGCTCCTGTAAGGAGACTTTTAACCTGTACTATTTCGAGTCGGACTTTGACTCGGCCACCAAGACTTTTCCTAACTGGATGGAGAATCCTTGGATGAAGGTGGACACCATTGCTGCCGATGAGAGCTTCTCCCAGGTGGACTTAGGCGGGCGGGTGATGAAGATCAACACCGAGGTGCGCAGCTTCGGGCCCGTCTCCAAGAACGGTTTCTACCTGGCCTTCCAGGACTACGGGGGCTGCATGTCCCTGATCGCCGTCCGTGTCTTCTACCGCAAATGTCCCCGCGTGATCCAGAACGGGGCCGTCTTCCAGGAGACGTTGTCGGGGGCGGAGAGCACCTCGCTGGTGGCGGCCAGGGGGACGTGCATTGCCAATGCTGAGGAGGTGGACGTGCCCATCAAGCTGTACTGCAACGGTGACGGCGAGTGGCTGGTGCCCATCGGCCGCTGCATGTGCCGGGCCGGCTACGAGTCGGTGGAGAACGGGACCGTCTGCAGAGGTAACCACGGGCCCACCTCTGCTGCTGGGGGCACTCAGGGTCTGCATCTGGCATCTGCAGGAGCCAATTACAATTTGTAATGGTTGTGTTAGACTCGATCTGCTGAAGCACTGGCAAACCCAGTGCTGTGAGTGCTGAGTTGGGACACATCAGGGTCCTCATCATCATAAATGTTTGGTTTGGGGGAAGGTGACACCCCGCTGAAAACCTGAAAGTTTAAGTTCATAATTTCTAAATCAGTTTGGCCACTGAGAAATGAAATCTACAGTTTGTAATGTGGTGTAGTTGAAACCCTCACTGATGACCCAAACCGACTCATGAATTGTAGTTACAAATTGTAAATTGTAATTGGTTCCTGCAGAGGGACCAATTTTTGAATTTGGGGGAAGGTGACACCCCGCTGAAAACCTGAAAGTTCAACTTCATCGTTTCTAAATCAGTTTGGCCACTGAGAAATGAAATCTACAGTTTGTAATGTGGTGTAGTTGAAACCCTCACTGATGACCCAAACCGACTCATGAATTGTAGTTACAAATTGTAAATTGTAATTGGTTCCTGCAGAGGGACCTCCCCGGGCGTGAGGTGGCATGTGTGGAGGCTGAGTCCTTCCCCAGCTCCTCAATTCCTGCCCCAGGCTCATCCATCCTGTGTGTGACCTCCAGGTCCCCACGCTCTCCAGGTTTTGGAGGCACACACGTGTGGTGCGTGTCAGCAGTTTTCAATTCCCTCCCAAAATATTGGGGCTGTTAAACTGTTGGGTTTTCTGTGTGCTTTGGCATGGGCTGAATCTCTTCCTGGATGAGGGGAGTGGGAATGCAGGGTCCCAGAAGGGTGCAGAGGGACGGGAGCGCGTTCTCGACGGTGTTTTCCTGGTGAGGTGCAAATGGCCCAGGCTGGGACATGGTCATGGCCTGTTCAGCTGCCTGGCCCCTGTGCTCCTCAACACCCAGAGGTTTCCTGCCCTATAAAAAATCTGCAGATGTTCTCCTGCCCCTGTAGATGCTCAGAGCAGACTCTGTGGGCACCTGCTGAGCTCAGCTGAGCACCACGCAGCCAGTGTGGTCCCAGGGCAGCAGGAGGCTCAGCAAGCCCCCTCCCTGAGCTGATGTCTGTGCTCCTGTCCAGAGGGCTTGGAAGGTTGAGAAAGGAGCTCCTGGGGTTGCTGGCAGGGAGCTGGGGACCACAGAGCTGTGTGATGGGCACTGCAGCTGCAGCAAACCATGCTTTGGCAAACGGGATCTTTTTCTCCCGGCCACGGCTGGACATCCAAATCCCTCTGTGGTTCCGACAGCATCGGCACGCTCCAAGCAGAGCCAGGGCTTCTGAGATCAATTCCAGATACATCAGTGGCCACTGCAGAGCCAGGGCTGGAGCTGTGTCTCCTCTCCTCTGGCTCTGAAGGGGTGGCCAGGTAGAACCAGGCCTGGGGAAGGTGCTGGTAGTGGGAGGCAGTCCCCTGGAGAGGAGAACGGACAGTCTGTGCTCAGCAGGGACTGCAGGCTGTGTGGTGCCCCTGGAGAGGGACTCCGTGGCTGCTGCTGGTGGCTGGGCTGCTCAAGCACCAAAATTCAGGTCCTGGTGTGCTGTGGGGATCATTTAATATCCATGATTTCAGCTGCTCCTGGCTTAGCCACTGAACACCTCTTCCCACCGAGCTCGGGCAGATCAAGTGTCTCCCAGGCTTCGCAGGGATGGGGATGGGGACGGCAAGGAAGGACCGCTGGAAACTGAGCCCGGCTAATCCCTGCCTCCAAGGGCAGACGGGGGTTTTACAGCTCCCAAGCGAAGCATCCGTAGCAACAGCAGAAAACCCCAATGATTCATGGCAGCTTTTCCATCTCAGCCTGTTTTTTGTTCCCTGAGCAGACCCAGCCTTGCCCGGTGCTTTGCTCCGATGCAGCCCGGGGTTTTTTGGGGAGCTCCCTGTGCCACTGCCAAAGGGCAGTTCCCTCCAGGGCAGGGCTGGGGGGAGAGAGGAGGAGGGAGAGGCCGGTTGTGTCTTTGTCTGGGCAGCAGCAGGATTTTGGGAGGTCCGGTACCTCGGCAGCTGCTTGTGCAGCCGGTGCTGGCGCACGCCGGCCCCGCGCTCCCCACCCTCATCAATCACACGGTGGCCAGCAGCCCATCGTCTCCATGGGGCAGCTGGCTCCAGGGCTGCCTCCCCTTCCCTTCCCTTCTTCTGCTTTTCCCTTCCTCTTCCCCTTCCCTTTCCCTTTCTGCTTCCCATTTCTCCCTTCCTTTCCATTCTCCTTCTCCTTCTCCTTCTCCTTCTCCTTCTCCTTCTCTTTCTCCTTCTCCTTCACCTCCTTCCTTTCCCCTTTCCCCTTTCCCCTTTCCCCTTTCCCCTTTCCCCT